AATACCTCCCGGGTGGGGGGCGGCGGGGACACGCCTCTCGGAAGGGCAGCCTACCGTGACCAATAGCAGGAGGGGCTCTGGAGGGGCGGGATTTCTAGTGGCCAATCCGGAGGCAGGTAGGTGAAGGCCGAGGGAGGGAGGCTGGGAGCGAGAGGGGGGCGGCCCGGGAGTCCCGGAGGTCCGGCCGCTCGGGTGCGCGCAGTGCGCGGCTGCCATTTTGGAGTCGGGCAGCTGCTATGGCGGTCGGGTCGGGCCCGGAGGGAAAAGGGAGGAGCCAGTCAGGTGGGAGAGAGTTGGTCACGTGAGCTCGAGGGGCGGGGTTAAGCGGGCTGCGGCTCGAGGGGAGGGGTCGACGGCAGCGACTGGCGGGGACGGAGGGTGGTCACGTGGTCACGTTCAGGAAAAGGAAAGGAAAAGTGATGAATGGACAGTGTGAGCGACGGGGCGGAAAATGTGAATGAGCCTCCGAGCTTCATCCAGCTTGGAGCCTCGTCATTACTACATTACAGGATCTGCGGGAAACTGGGCGCTCCATTTAATTCAAGTATTGCCATCCCTACGCCCAGCTGTCGCAAACGTGACTCCCAAATCCATGGAGGGGTGTTTGTCGCCCACTCTTTGCCTGCACTGTACACGGAAGGGCCCCCGCTCCAGAAATGGCCGAAAGGGTAGAAGCTTCCTAGTTGAGGCCTTGTGACGCTGCCAGGACTCTTTCCCGCTGGCCTCCTAGAAACCTGTCATCATTCACAAACTCTGTATTAGGTAAGCCCGTGATTGGATTCTGACGCCTCCAAACATAAAACAAACTACTGCCTACCCCGCCCCCCCAGCCCCCCAAAGGAAAAAACAACTTGCCTATGAGACCCTATCGAGCATTCAGTTCACGCTTCAAGTCCAGCCAAATTATGCTCCCTGTCAGTCCACTGAAAGTGCTCTTCTTCAAGGGTCACTTTTCAGTTCTTACTTGATCTCCATTGCAATATATTCTATAGATAGACTACATCCTTCTTGAAACTTTTTCACCACCCAAATGCACACCTGACCCCAGTTTCCCTGGAACTATCATTTCCCTGAAACTACAACCGCAGGTTGTCTTTCTCTTCAGTTAATCCAGCTCTGTTCTCTGTTGGCTCTTTGAGTCCAGAAGGGGATCTCGAGCCCCCTCCTCAGTCGTACATAATCGTTCTGTTGCAGAGTAGGTGGCCTAATCGTCGTGATGGCTGGGTACACCTTCTATGTGCGTCTGGGCCTCTCCACTGGAGCTTCACCAAGGGAACCCAGATACTTCCGGAAGTCCAGACAATCTGTTCCTTATCTTCTTTGGTAACATCACCATCCATTCCCTTAGGCAAGCCAGGAACCTGGGAGTAATCCTCCATGCTACGCCCCCACTGTGTAACACCTCTCTATCCCTTCTAATTTTGCCCTGTTGATTCGATTTACCAAATGCCCTTTCCTCTCCATTTCTACAGCCACGGCCTCACCTGGCCATTTATTCATCAGGCCAGTATTTACTAAGCACTTTACTAGGTGCCAGGGGTTATTTGAGATGCTTAGGCTGGAGTGATGAACAAAACTGATAAGGTTCATGAGTGGGGTGAGACATACAAGAGTCTATCAGTAAAGTAGCAAATAAACAAGATAATTCAGGAGATGCTAGTTGCTATGAAGACAAAGGCAAACAAACAAAAACCTACCCCACAACAACAACAAAAAGACAGGGACACCTGCAAGACCCTCCTCGAGTCTCTGCCTCCCTCCACAC